AGATACACTTCTGTATGTCTTTATTCTGTGACCTAGTTGAAAATCAAATTCTCAAAAACGGCATGTTTAGCAATAATACAGCTAAACATTTTAGTCAAAGAGCAAATAAATGTAACCACGCCATTCTACGATGAAACCTCTAAGTATTCCCAGTCAATTTTAGCAAATATTTCAAGCACTAAACAGTGAAAAATACATCGCAAATTTCGCAAAAATTTGTGACGCCAATTTCGTAGCTACAAATGTAAAAAAAATACAAAACAAAGACGAAAAACATTTACCTTGAATACTTTGTCGTGGCTTAGGCATGTTTTTAAAACAATTAGACCAGTTTACGCTTCAAGATCACCCTTTTAAAGTGGAAAATATAGCAAAACAACAAAGATGCCGAGAACCACAGATGAGGTAGGTTTACCTCATCTGTGCCACAGAATAAGGACATACAGAAGTGTAACTTCCATTACAAAACCGTAAGGCGCTTTTTACCGAAATCATTGAACTATAAATAAACTGGAAGGCTAACTCAGGGGGGGAAATTGAAGCCAGTGCATTTTAGTTTTTCTGAGTTATGAGCAGAAATACTCAACACTGAACGTCGGGCTATATATCAAATTGAAGCTATTGAAAAACGCTATTTGGTGTAGAAATTTCAAGACTTTAGCTAAAAGGGAAATATTGAAAAACTACAAACATAATTACCGATAATTTGCCGTTTTGCAGTTGTTTTTGTATTTTTTAAATATTTTCCTTTTCGCTGAAGTCTTGAAATTTCCACACCGAATAGCAATTTTCAATAGCTTCAATTTGATATATAGCCCGACGTTGGGGGCCAAGTATTTCAGCTCATAACTCAAAAAAACTATTTTGGCTTCATCAACTCATAGGCCTTCATCATAGCAGTTAGCCTTCCAGTTTATTTATAGTTCAATGACCGAAATAGCTGGCGGCCATGTTCTTAGCAAGTGCCCTAAAGAGAGGCATTCACCCCCCTGGAATATTAAATTTTCAGTACGTTTTCAGGGGGGTGACTGCCTCTCTTTAGGGCACTTGCTAAGAACATGGCGGACTGAAAAAATCCCTTACGCACTTTTAATAAGAAGATACACTTCTGTATGTCTTTATTCTGTGTCTGTGCCGAGAACTTTGGTAACATTCGCAATACGCGTGACGTCACGTTTTTCAACAAGGATGCAGTCAATGACGTCAGAAGTTTCCAATCCATTTATTTTATTATCCATGCTTTTATATAGACGTTTTAACGACGTTTCACTGTAGTTATTTTATAAATCAATAGGCTTTATGTATAATGACGTTACAAGACGTGATGCGCGCGGGGAATCAATCCAACATGGCCACTTGCTGTTGTCAGTGGCTGTCGTAGGCATTGGTCGTGGGTCAGTGAGTGTGCTGCTGCCCTTTGTCGTGTTTTAACAGACTGTTCAAGGCACGTTAGTTAACTCCTAGTTCTTTAATTTCAGAACTCTTGCACGGGTTTTCAGAGGTTTGACAGCCCTGAACGTAACGACAACAGTCCGCTTTCATCGACCAGTACGAGTAAAAGAAGTTGCGGTTTTAATAGGTATATAATTGTGTTCCAGGTTGCTTCAATCCCGAGCATCTAAAAGACGACAAAGAACAGTTGCAGTACACTCGCATTCGACAGTAGCCACTCGCATTCGACAGTAGTTGGATTGTTTTCCCCGCCGTGATTGCTAAAACCAGAATTCCCCGCGCGCATCACGCCTTGTGACGTCATTATGCATAAGGTCTATTACCAAAAGGTTTTCCGTACAGGACAGCGCTATTAATACACTTGGGATGTTGCTCGACTTTCGAAAGTCTTGCAACATCTCGCGTGCATGGATGACGCTATCTTGCACGGAAAACCATTTGGTATTAATGCATTGTGCGCCCAAACCTGCTTGGCGGCCATTTTAATGGCGGAATAATAGGTGTTTCGGTTTTCAATCCATAATATACTACTACATCTTATGGTTATACTTGCTCAATTTTAACTTTTTTATTACTAAACTTGCACCAAAGAAATGTTTATAATCGTCATTTGTTGCTATTTCTCACTTCCGAAGGTAAGATGTAAACAAATGCATTGTGGTCGACAATGACTCTTTAATCCGGCACATCCCGCCACTGTGCTATTAACAGCCGAGGTTAATATTTACATATTTGACCATACAGCTATCAAGACTCAACTCGTCGTAGCAATGAGACCGGGCTGCGTATACATTGGAACGCAGTGAAAGTACCGGGGACATTTGACTACTGGAATCCATGGTCAAAAGATATCCCGCACATAACCCTAACTGCCCATACTTCGGTTAAATACAACGCGGTGTCGCCCGAGTGTGTTGATTTCTCCGCACTTCAAAAGTCGTTAGTCGCCGCCGCAACTTCGGACATCAGTCGATCGCTCGTGATGGACGAAGAACCGATCGTTATTAATATGATACTGGGAATAACGGCGCTTGTCCACAATCAGAGTAAGCTCGGATTCTCTCGCGATAGAGGTGGTGTGTCCTTCTGAGGGATTTGGGGGTGCTGCTTATTTATTTTCGCCTTGGACAAAACGCTAGACTGTTTGTAGGACAGTTGCGAGATAAGTATAGTATATATTGCATGCACAGAGGTGGGAAAAGTATTGGAACCTGGGAACCTAGTTCCCAGAAATGTTTTGGGGATCTACATTTTTGCAGAAATTTTCGGACATTTTTTTATGTTTGGTACAGCTAATTCTGAAAATTGCACTGATTGAATATCTAAATTACTAAATACAGGTACCTCATTGTCGAAATGATTGAATACCAGATTAATCTACTAACTGAATACTTAAATAGCAGCGTAACAGTTTGGAATCAAAATTTTCATATAGCCTGCAGATGGAAATTTATTTTTAATACAATAATCCTATAAAACTGTAACTGAATACTTCAACATTTACCTTGCATACCTTATCAGTCTTAAAGAGATATACGCGCTGCTTCATACGACAACACATCCATATTATAGGTAAAAACTGAAAGACAGCTCCCTGTAAACTTTTGCAGACAATTCTGAACTGCCTTAAACCCAGGTTCTCGGGAAGATTAAAAAATCATTTTCCTCCTCTAATAGTGCATATGGGAATATTAATTGTTTCTGGAGACCAACTACATTTATACAATAACTACAGTGAAACACGCAATTTGATTGGTCAACAGCCGTGCAGGATCAGACAATCCTGCACGGGAAATTCTGAACAGAAATTCTTGCACATAATTTTACAAATATACTCGCATTGTAAAGTTTCATTGTACCATACCTTTCGACTTTGAAGTAAGTTTGCAATTATTGAGTCGTCGGTTTAGTTGTATGAATAAATTTCTGATTTATACATTGCTGTTCAACAAGTAGCAACGCGTAGCGTTGAAATTCATCAGACCAGGCATGCAAGTACAACATCTCACTTCAAAGTTGAGCAAACACTTCGCAATCTTCACATATTCAGGTTGAGAATCTTCAAAACTACTTTGGCTCTCTGTTTAGCGGGTTTTCCATTTCAAATTTCGTATATTTTATCGAAAAAGTCCCTGTATTTTCGCGAATTTGCGATCAAATTCTGTTCACATATGTTGTTGTTTTCAATAGCGTGGAGAAGCGATTCTCTGATTGGTTAAATCACGAATGTTGTGAGAACTGCACATTTCATCAGTAATTTTAATCAAGTTAAGCGTCGTTTCACTGTAGTAATTTTATAAAACAATTACCAAATGGTTTTCCCGTGCAGGTTAGCATGATCCATGCACTTGGGATGCTGCTCGACTTTCGGAAAGCGTAAAAATACAGTCGCCTACGGCTCGTGTATTTTACGCTTTCCGAAAGTCTCGCAACATCCCGCGTGTATGGATCACGCAATCCTGCACGGAAAACCATTCGGTATTCCTTTAATACTATGCCGTATATTATATAGTTATTCCTGATCCGAGTTAGCGTCATCAATTTTCTATCTCGCTGTCTACAGACCTTTACCGCCAAGAATGGATCTCTAAATTGAAATCTTAATGCTCAAATTAGTGTATACCGAAAATTTCATGTTGTTTATATATTTAGATTTTCCCATATTTATATCACGGCATCGAATTTGTATAGGTGTGGAAAAACTAAATTTTCAAAACGCAATAACTCGCGCCCTGACTCTCCAAACATCATGAATTTTTGAGCATTGACTAATAGACTTTATGCATAATGACGTCAGAAGGCTGGATGCCCGCGAGGAATGCTGGTCTTAGTAGTCATCGCCCGGGAAAATTAAACAATTCAAAATGGCCACTATCGAAATTTTCCCGGGCGATGACTACTAAGACCAGCATTCCTCGCGGGCATCAAGCCTTCTGACGTCATACATAAGGTATATTTGAGTACAAAGATTTCAATTCTGAAATCCATTTATCAAGTATGAAGATGAAACATCGATAACGACAACTCGCGTCATGTTGCAATGGTGCGTAGTAAATTATCCAGGCGGGCGTGCCTGATTCGTATATATCGAGTATTCAGAACTGCATCTATAATAAGGATTCAAAATATTATACATTTACGTAATATACCATCTCCGTTTTGATTAGCTTTTGGCTGTACAGATAATTCTTGTGATAATATAGTCATCCTTAGCGATTTCGTCAAGATCGATCGTATCTGTTCTATCGCGTTCACACACAAGAGTCAAGAGTTCACCGAGGCGATCCTGGTTCATTACTGAACAGTGAACGCATAAAGTTTCACTAAGGCCAATGGAAATTGAAATCATGTTTCTCGTCCACAATTTTCAAAAATTTGGAGCGAGATTTTTTTATTTTTCATTTTTCATTATTTTTTGTGTTTGAATTCTGCTTGTCAATAATTTCCTTGACCCATAAAAATCGGAAGTAAATCGGTATATAATTCATTTTAATTTAATACGTCCTACTCTACAGTATATTTCTACGCATGCCAGGGCTGACATGAAAAATAGAGGCATTCTGGCGAGTAATGTCTTTAGAAAGACACAATTTGAGTTGCGCTTGCGGAATGCAGCAATAAGACTTTGATCTGGAGATCAATTTGGTGTTTTATTAAGCCTATTTTTCAAAAATAATGAATAATGAAAAATTTTCGATCGTGCGGCAGATAAAACCCATGCGGGCGGGGACGAGAAACATGATATCAATTTTCATTGGGCTAATTTACACTTTAAAAAGCTGCGCTCGGCAGATGCGGACGTTCCAGGAACTGTAAGTAACAATTGGAAACGTTGCTTAGTCAGAGGAAACAATGTTTCTTTCAGATAAACCAGGGCCTCATTCACTCATGATCGAAATTCTTGATTGCAGTAGGCATATAAATCTCTTTGGTAACAAAATGTATATACATATTGTGTATTTGTGTTACATGTGAACATACTCAGGGCTGGATAATTTTCTGTTTCGTTAAAAGTGGTTTCAAACATCAATGAAACCTTTATATTACGAAAGTCACCGAACTGTGGAATCGCATTAAAAATTCGTATATCGACCACTCCCACAAACGTCTACGACCGCGCCTACATAGTTTTGCAGGTTTACAATTCTAATTTTGAACAGCCAATCAGGTTCTTGGTAACAATTGCAATTAAACGTCGATTGGCTGTTTAAAATTAGAATTGTAAACATGCAAAAATATGTAGGCGCGGTCGTAGACGTTTGTGGGAGTGGTCGATATACGAATTTTTTATACGATTCCACAGTTCGGTGACTTTCGTAATATTTTGCTAATTTGGGTGCTTGAACAACCTGAATTGATTGGCATCAATTATAAGCGAGACAATTGCTCAGTCGTTGGGTCAACAAGTATAAACAGGATCATATAACAGCTCAGCGCAACTGGAGATTACATGCATACGGGTATTGCATATTTTCCTGGGGCCAACTGCCAAGCGTAGGGGCCCTAAATGCGCGAGGTCCCTAAATATCGGAGGCATCTAAATTCGCGAGGCACCTAAAATGGGCGTGTCCCAATAGAAAATGGGCGTGTCCCAATAGAAAATGGGCGTGTCCCAATAGAAAATGGGCGTGTTCTCGTAAAAATGGGCGTGGCACAGTAAAGCGCGAGGCCCCCTTAAGCGCGAGGCCCGCGGCATATGCCGCATCTGCCACGTGGTTAATCCGGCCCTGAACATACTTCCTAATATAACTCGGCTAAGAATTCGTAGTCTTTTCTATATTTGGAATAAATGGAAACTTCATCCCTTACAGTACATAATATTTCTTCATATTATTTCTTGATTCTGTTTGAGCAAACTTTCAACTCAATAGTTTGAGTTTGATGTCTCCGAGTTTCGAAAACATTTAGTTTCCTTTAGCCTGTACAAAATACCGCATGTAAACAAACGCATAATTTTGAGACCAACTGCACTCAGTTTGAGATCGACTGGATATCATTTCTTTGGGGGTGAACCACACCGCTCTACTTGATTAGGGTCTGGGTAGGTTCAATATTTATAAACAGCGAGACATGAATCAACCGAGTTGAGTTAAGTAACGCTATCGGACAATATATTTCAAAAGCGTTGCCTTACACACAATATTCACGTTCCCCTTTTGGCAAGGTAGCGCCGTCGTGGATAAGATGTTGACAACTTGTGCCCTTTTTTGGTGATCATACTATAATTTGCACAATTAGCAATGAATATACAGAAAATATGCTTGCCAGCTTGGTCTTTGGCAGTAAGCAGTTTGTTAACCTTTTTTCAGTTGGTTGGTTGAGAAATATATTAAACCAATTACATAAAATGGCCATTGAAAATTTGTTGCAACCAATAAAATTTGGTTGTTTTAACCATTCAGTTTTTACAGTGTACATATAACCCACGTCTATACTGTTGTGGCATTGAAAACAATTTGAATATTTTTTCATTTCCGTAATTTAATCTATAAATATCCGGTGTGTTTCTTGGAAGCGAATTGCGCGACAGGTCATGGCGTGTATGAATTATGCAATATCGCCTATGAGCCTATCTGCAAGAATTACGAACGCTACGCGAATATTTTCGTGTAAAATGGTAATGTGAACTTCGTATAACATACAGAAAACATGAGAAAACGCATACTTGTTCGATGGAATAAATAGTTGAACGTAATTACCACTATACGAGTGTGAAGAAGGATTCTACAAGACTTGACAAATTAAAGGTAGGCTATATAATTATAGAAACATGCATTGTCCTTGTAATAGCTTATTGAGTATTCTATAATCGGCTATACAAATTTCGCTTTTCCCAGCGTAATTTGTAACAAATTAAAAGTTTTAAATCTCTATGACACGTTGTGCTAAAAAAGCCCAGATCACACGAGGATGAGAATGGATGAGAGTTGGCAGTCTGCGGCCTTGGTTAGATGTTCCACAGTGGCTGTTCTTATTGCTTTCCCAGCACTATCATGTACTTTACTTCAGCCAAAATATAGTTGGAACACTTGCCAAACCTTTATTTTGTTAATCTACAACTTAAAATGTCCCCGTAACAATGTGTGACTGCCAACTCTCATCAACTGTCATATCATTATCGTTTGACCAAGGCTTAACTTGTATATAATTCATTATGATTATATAATTATGCATTTGATCGATGTGTACGTATTAATTTTTCTGCATTTCTGGGTTGTTTAGCCAAGGGCTGAGACAAGATTATAAGAGCATGCGCATTAAAACAAGTTGTGATTTTTTGTGATTACATTCATTCATAATAATTACCTGGGGGCAAAGAAGGTAACCCCATTGCACATTTTATTGACGTGTTACTATGATTTTAGAATATCTTTTTATGGATCCCCTCCCACTGAATAAGAACTCTCCATTGCAATGACACCCTACAATCTCTTAAACATATTACCACAGAATAATGATCTCCCTCCCCCCGAAACAGGACCTTCACCGCAATGACACCCATATATTTATCTTGGTGATATAATTATACAAATATAACAGGATTTTAATCATACGATTTTTCGTCGGATGGGACCGCCAAGAAGCACTTTGCGCTGGGTTCCCAGCAAAAAGGGCCCACAAAACAACAAAGATCCATGAAATTTCTTGATACAAGATTGCTTAACTGAGAATATAAATCTTCACTGCGTTAGTTTCGGATAATATGTAATTAAGTGTCATTACTAGTTTTGCGGTAGTAAAGAAACGATGCCTGTCTATAGTATTTAAAATAATCTGTAGATTTCCTACACTGATAAAAGTACAGTGTTTCCCCTTTGGGTATCTTTGTTTTACTCTCTTTTCAATGGTAAAGTGCAATTCACCACCACCCTTTTCTTTCGCTGAACATGAACTTTCTAGAACTATCTATTTTACTTTGGATACGCTATGGTTTACTCCATGACAATCAGCAGAATTTAAAAAAATTTTATTTTAGTTTTAGATTTGGTAGATTTTCACAACATGAATTTTGGTGTGCAAGATTTATTGGAAATACGAAATGATCCTGAACATCGTAACTGGCATGCTGTTGGAGATGCTCTCATGTTGCTTGGTGATGGCCTCAGGCAATATGCTGAGAAAAAGATGATAGATTTTCATGCTTTGCTACTGAGAAAGGTGGCAGGAGTCAAATGCAGTTGCAAGTGTACGCTTGGAATGAAACCAAACCCTCATGGAAGAGCAACAACTTGTATTTGGGCCCAGGAATTGAAGAAACATCACGTTTTTACAAAGAAAGCTGACATTCCTTGGCATCAAAGTGACTGTAGCAGATGGCATGACCCTGCTGTTGGTTACTGGGAGATTGCGAAGTTGTTTATGTCAGGTATAGGATCTGATCCGGCCAAAGTTACGGACCCAAATTCCACAGATGTTGGTCCTCTACTTAATTTGTTTAGATTTTGTAAACATTTTAACGTTCAGAAGCCTTTATTGAAAGCAGTTACAGAAAGAAGGAATCAGTGGGCTCATGCACCAACACGAAGACTTAGTGAGGGTGATAAAAACGCTGCTTTTCAAGACATTACACTTTTAATGAATGACCCTGAGTTATTGACAAGCAAAGAAGTTCAAGGCTGCAAACCAACAATTAACAAAGTGGAATCGGCGGATGTTTTAATCTTAGAGGAGAATCAATTGCGTCTAGTGGAAGAATATCGACGTATTAAGGAATGCGAGAATCTTCAGATGAAAGAAAGATTGAATGCTGCAAACGAAGAAATAAAAATCTTACGAAACCGTGAGCTTGGTGACAAATCTTTGGATGGCCTTTCTGATAAAAAAGGTGTTATGTTTTGGGTACGCAATATAGGTATCAATGTTCGAACAGTATTTTTTTTTGTGATGTCACTTCGGCGCCGAGTTCCTGGTTGGCTACAGTGGAGTTTTACATTATTTCTTATATTCTCTCAAGTTGGTGATCGTGGTGGGATTGCATCAGATGATGGTAAGATGATTTACATATTAGCTATAAGTGTAGGTAATAGGTTAGTTTCGAGTGCAATTTGGATAAAACACGAGTGATTTTTTCAAAGAGCATCAAAATAGTACGAGTCCGAAGGACAGTGCTATTTGAGGTCTTTGAAAAAGTCACAAGTGCTTGTTTTATCCAAATTTTACGAGAAACCATCCTATTACGGCTTAATAATATACATAACACAATTGTAGTTTTAACTTACGTTTACTGTTTTCGTATATCACATTATACAGCGCTAACGACTTGAAAATTTCACTCACGCAAGTAGAACACAAGGTATGGCCAAATTCCGAGACCATTTAACAATTAGATAGCGAGCTCGAGTTGTCTATGAGGGAAGTAAGAGCTGATTATTCGCTTATAGATACAGATAACGAGACCAAGATGTCTAAATGTTGTCGTATACACTCCCACTGTACATTCCTACTTAATTAAAGAACAAACTGAAAGTAAACCTTTGCATAACACTTTGTGCGATCCAGTCGGGATGCAGAGACCAAAATGTTCCATTGTTTATCCTCTGTTCTGAAAAATTCACTTTCCTCTGTCATCCAGGCACCACTGTTTTGTCGTTTATGCAAAGGTTCAGTTTCCTTGCACACCAAAAAGACTTGATGGTGATTTTATACATATATAATAATATACATAAAAATATTCGACTGTGATTGGTCGATTTCAGTGCAGTTAATCTCAAACAGCAGTGCAAAATTCTGCAACAGTGCAAAAATGTGTAACAAAAAATCTACCAATTAGCTTAAAGCAATCGTCAATACTTCAAGTAACGGTCGCATCGGGTGAAACTTTAAACAAGACTAGCAAAACGTGACTTCTACAGTATCTTTTTGTTAAAATTGATTATATAAACTTGTTCACGGTGAAGACAGTGAAGTTTTGACGAAGTTAGGCAATTCAATAGAATCATCAGAACTTCAATAAAAAATTTCAAATTTAAAGTCGTAGCTCAATATAAATCGTATGTCCGTATACCAGTCAATCAGGTCTTTTTCTTCTATTTTTCAGGGTGTTCCTCTGCAATGATAAAATCGCCAATAAGCCACTTTCTGTTGCAACAGTTCGACTTTTCCTCTCATCTTGCCTACAAGAGAGAAGGATTTGTTGGCCGGAAATGGTTCTTTTTGGAACTAGAGTATATCTTCGAGAAAGATCTAGGTGCAGCTGGTGTTTTGATTACTGGCGGGCCAGGATCCGGAAAATCCGCATTAATGTCACAATTGGTATGTTCATCGTATTCCAGCCGGGTTATTCATAAGAATATCATTGGTTATCATCTGTGTGAATATTCCGAAAAGGGGAAACGTGACGGAGCGAGATTTGTGCGCAATTTAGTTGACCAAATTGCAGCACGATTTTCTGGTTATTCTGAACATGTAATAAAGAATGAACCGATGAGAAGGGAGCTGCAAGGCACCCTCTGTCAACAAGATCCCACAGGATGTTTCTTTACTTCGATATTGGGACCATTGAGAGAGTTTAAGCCACCCGATGGTCTTCGGTATATTGTAATAGATGCTTTAGATGAATGCTTTCAGAGTGACAAAACATCCGAAATTATTGAAATGCTGAGCAGTAAAATATCACATTTCCCCAAATGGTTAAAGGTGATATTAACTTCACGAAATCTGACGATGGTTACGACAAAAATACCTCGAGTTATTAGAAGGAAGCCATTGTACGCGAATGACAAACGAAATGAAAAAGATATTCGTCTTTATGTGTCGCGTTTTATATCTCAAAATTCGTTTTTCATGGATCGACTGTTGGCAGCAATGAATGTTACATCAAGAACGTATGGTATGAGAATATTTTTGGACGAAGTAATCGCGCGAGCTGAAGGGAATTTTTTGTTCGTGAAGACGACACTTCAATATATGAACGATACCAATGGTGTGGTCGATCTTCGCTCCTTGCCAACAAGTCTGTTTGATTTGAATAGCATTTTCTTTAACAGACAATTTGGCAAAGACGGTTTTGGGCCATTCAGATCTCTTTTTGAGGTTTTGTTATCTGTTGGCTCGCCGCTACAATTGAACGATGTGGAAGAATTACTTAGAAGCGAGTATGAAGAAGAGGATGTCTCCCAACTTATAGACCAAGCGTCTTGTTTCCTGCGATTTGGTCTTGATGGAACAATGAGAATATATCACCAATCTTTCGCTGAATGGTTGATAAACCAGTCTAATGTTATCCACATTAATGAAACTAGAGCTCATCGAAATATCGCCAAGTTTCTACTGCATCGCATTCTTAAAAGAGATACGAAAGTTAGGCCTGGGGAAATTATTGAACTTTTCATGCACATACTAGCAGGAAATACATTAGAAATACATGGAAAATCTATAGATCTTTTAGACATTACCGAAATGCGCGAACCCCGAACGAACCAATCCATACTACACCATCTTGCTGTAAAACCAAGACCGTTTCAACCTGTACTAGAGTTCTTCCTACCAAAGTTTAGAACCGTTGACGTACTAGATTCGAGGAAGAAAACACCAGCATTTTACGCAGCATCTGAAAACCTTGTTGAAAATTTGCGAAGCTTCATTGACAGAGGAGCAGACGTAAATTCGTTTTTAGAAGGATTTAAGAAATTAGATCCCTTCCTGAATGTTGTTCGCAATACTGGTATCGAAGAATTCAGCTTTATACACGCTGCTGCTGCGAAAGGGCACAAAGATGTTGTTGAACTTCTGATAAAAAATAATGCTAGTTTTCACGAATCAAGCCAGATGTATCCAACACCTCTTCACTTAGCTGCAGGAAATGGGCATTTAGAAGTACTTAGCTTGTTTTATGATTATGGTGCAAAATTTGACGTTATTACACTGCATCATGCGGCAGCAAGAAATCATCTAGATGTCGTGGAGTTTTTATTGACAACAGTAGGAGTTCGTGATAGTTGTTTACAATGTACATGTAAACCTGAACACCTTTCGAAATTTAAAATAGAGGATGTGCACTTGTACTTTTGTGAAACGGCACTTCATGCTGCTGTGTCAAGAGGACACATGGATATCGTAAAGATCTTGTTAGCGTTTGGAAACGGAGCGTTGGAATGTAAACATCATTCTGGAAAGACAGCGTTGATGGATGCAGTTGAGAGACATGATGTTGAAATGGTTGATTTACTATTGGAGAATGGTGCCAATGCCACTACGCAGTGTGGTAAAATATCGAAGAGAAGTAAGAGTGAAATGTGTTCATTGCCCTCTGAGTACAAACATGATTTATTGTATACAGTAAACTGCACAGAGGATAGTTGTAAATGCGGTAACACAGCCATTCATGTCAGTGCTAAATATGGTTTCTTGAAGGTGGCAGAGAAACTGACTAGCGAAAACGTTTATGATCTAATAAATGTGAAAAATTGTGGCTGGGAGAGTGCACTATCTGTTGCCATTTCACGTGGTCATACGCATTTTATACGCTATGTTAGTAAAATCTATAAGCCTAATTTTCTGGATTCTCATATTGTTCATGGAGCAATTCTTCGTTCTTCTTATAATGAGGTAAAACATATTCTTAGTTATCCCGTGAATTATATATATGAGCATAGATGGGAACTTCTATTGCGTAGCGTTTATTGGATTCCATATCACTTTTACACTACGGATACATTTCCTTTTGATCGTCTTTATCGAGCATTATGTGAAGATGAAAATCTTTCTTTGGTAGAAAGTATACAAATGGTATCAAGAAAGCGATTAGCTATCATGAGGTTGTTAGTCGAATCGTTTGAAGAGAAGTCATTTATTTTGAGCAGAAAAGACGATAAAGGAATGACACTTTTGCACCATGCTGCTGAAAATGGGTTTGATGATGCTGTTAAATTTCTTGTTGAAGCTGGCGCCGATACAGGAATAAAGAATGAAGAAGGTCATAGCCCATTGACACTTGCGGCGTTAAAGTCAATACGAAATGTCAACATGTACTATAGTTGCTACACTACAGGCGATGGGCAATTTGGTTCGTGCAACACTTCAACTTTCGATGAGATAACAAGGTACCTGATATGGTTGGAGCGATCAAATTTTCTAAAATGCGATGCTAGAAGTGCCTCTTTGTTGGGGATGATAATTGAAAAACAAATGCCATTGAGTTTGTACGAATTGTTAAAAGCAGGTGTGGATATGAATTGCCAAGAAGAAAAATCGGCTCCGCGTCCCTTTTTGAGAAATCTTCAATTGCAAGGGCGACAGCTGAGCGAGGTGTTTAAAATCTTTGAAATTGATATCTCATTAAGGTGTGGAGTTTCTGGTCTTTGGTCAGAGTTGCATCTAATATCCCTCTATTCACCACATCGTATTGGTAATTTTTTTGAGCCTTCGCTGAATAGAAGGCGTTCTCCTTTACAAAGGTTGATTGACAAGCATCCGGACGGTGTTGGTATTTTCGACAAATGTTACGATGATGCTGGATTCTTACCTATACACCTCGCTGCGCAAGGTGGAAACCTTGCTGCAATAAAATGGTTTAAAAGTATTGGAGTTGACACACAACGGAAAACACGAGATCATGATTTTACTGCTCTTGATATTTCTATAATAAAATTGCGAAATATAAGTAAAGCTGAACTTATTACACCATCAGAGAGTACCCAATATTCTACATCGGGTTATCGAAAAGAGGTATTTGAAGAATTGTTGCGAACGTTTTTTACCATTACACCTGAATACAAATCAGAGTTTCTATGTAGACCGAGCCTAGAAAGACAGTCACCGCTTTACACTGCAGTGTTTGAAGGAATGACCGTGTTAAGATACGTGCACAAAAAAGCTTCGGAAATATTTCCAAATTTACCACTGAATTGCGCAAATGAACACAGAGTAGACACCTCGTATCTGGTTCACTTATATGAAATCTTTAATTCGTATATACCTGATTTCAGTCAAAGAGCGCCGCCGTATTAAAATTCAGTATTATTACGAACATGCACACAAATATGCTATATGCTTTGAGAAGCATTCATGGCCAGACTACCACAACTAAATTAAATTTACTTAATGTAAATTAACAAAGTATTTGATAAGCTAGTGAGCAATCGCATTAAAACTTAACAATCAATACTGTACACGCATGCGTTTCTGCAAAATAGGCTAACCGACGAAAATTTCAATCCACAAGATATTGACATTCAATCTTTAAATGCATGGATTAATTTGCAGTTGTTACAGCCAATTTGTGAGAACAATTTGTACATAATGTTTTAATTTTTAATTGTTAATCAGCGCTGTATATTTTTGTATTTTTATAAATAGGGACATATCACATCATATTTTTAAATTTATTTTTCCCACTGAAGAAATCTCGGTGCATAAATTTTAAAAATCGACTCGTCTTACATGTCTGAGTATCAGAATATAATAGGAGTCGACAATTTGTTCTGTCTTCTTATATATAAACTTTCTTCAGACCTTTTGTCTTGACAATAATGTGTCACAGGCAACAGGTGGCTGAACCTATAGCAGCTAGATTTTAGTCCACAATTTAACATACGACGGCAACACGTGGCAAATAATCTCTTTTCTTTATTCCAATCGTCTTGTTTATATAAACAACGAGAAATTTGTAAAAAGAATCAACTTGTTGGAGTGTAGGAATCGACTTTGGTTATATATAGTAGATGTGAAAAATGTGGTAAATTTCTAGCCGAATTGGAAAGGTTTTGGCGTTATGTTGCATAAAGGTATGTAATAGGACATATATAGTTAATGTTAGACGTGTTGTAAGGTCTTTCAAACAAAGGCTTGCTTACAGGTTAAATTGATCCATTTGAATGAAAAAATATAATTGTACTAAATTTAAGCCTTTAAAAGTGTAAGGAATCTTCGGTGTTTGAAAGCAGTTGTATTGTATTATTATATGTTTCTATAGGCGATTGTTATATGCAAAATAACAGTTTAGTGGTAATCATTAGAGCGTTAATTTGTTACATAAACAATTGTATATTTGATATAATGCACTATATAATATAAAGCACTTGATATATAATATATAGGCCTACTTCGCAGTATGTTAACTGACAGCTAATTTACTAACGGTTTATGTGTCTATTCCTTTGCTAAAAATGATTAGTACCCTATATGTGTCCATTTGACCATTACGGCGTACGTAGGCTAGAGGTCTTCCACTGAGGAGACCGCTATATACCTTTATATTTTTATCTGTCCAAGCTCTAGTAAAAACGAGAATAAGCTAGGGTTTATAAGAGTTGGCAAGTGAGATTTTGCATGAGAGTTTTCTCAATCAGTTCTCATAGCCCAATCAAAAGAGAACAAGAGTTAGTGCACCAGAGTTTACGAAAGCTGACTGGATATTACCGCGCGCGTGGCGAAAACTCTCATCAAAATTTGAACATTTCATACTTTGATATGAGTTAGAGTTGACAAGAGTCGGTGAAAGTGCATGAGAGTCGTTGCAAGCACTCTCATGCTCGTTTAAACGGGGCTGACTAGGATATGATTGGTGGATGATTTGTAAAAGGTCTTAACAATGTGCCTTTAATATTCTTCCAGAGTTACCGCTAGGCTGATACACTGTTGAGATTTTTTGAAATGAGGGCATTGGTATTATTAGTTGGCGTTTTTATACTATTATATCACCCATTACAAGGTAAGTCATGTCTCAAATATAGCTATTAGCCAAGCCGTGTCTTCAAATATAGTAAGCCGTGTCTTCAAATATAGCCATTAGCCAAATATATATCGGCACAGTAGACTTAAAAATATAGTGTAAGAAGAGGATTCCGATGCTTCTAGTGCACGCAGCTACCCGTACGAATTGACCGTGGAAATCTCGCTTTGAGAAAGATTGGCACCTTAGGGAGAACAGTTTAGAACTGATAGAGGTATATTCATTGTGAATAAAGTTTAGTTTAGGTTTGCTCCTGTAGTGACGCTGAAGCAATAAGGAATTTTTGTTACTGCAGGAACTGTAAGAAGTTTAGAACTGATAAAAGAATTTAGTTTTGTGTCCAAATTAGGTGGAGAGTTTAGTTTCTCATTATTATTATCTATATCTGAAAAAGGGTTCAGGTCAATGACTATTTAACAATTATTCTCTTTTCAGGAAAACCATTGACAAGAAAAACAATGTCGGAATCAACGGAATTGATTCGAGAAAAGCGAGAGGAGTTGGATGAAGATGATAGATCAAGTGAGATGCAGAAGTTTATGTTGGATCTCTCTTCTAAGGAAGATATGAGTCGATTGAGGGAAAGGTGAGATACTGACACATTGTCGATGCTATAGAGATTAATCATCCGTCTGGAGTAAGTGAGAGAAAAGAGGAGATAATGGCTTGCTTATAGCAGAGACAGTTGGTCCATCATGATTTTTTATCTGTCTAACAAATCATTCGTCTTAGCGTAAACATAAGGCAGGCTATGCCGACAAACTAGCGAAAATATCGCAATCTATACTCAATGGTTATGGAAACAAATCATACGTGATATATTCCTGACGCAAATAGTTTATCTTGACAGATGATAGGGATCATCTGTCTGTTTGCTGCCTTTACACATGCGAATTATCTGATATATTATCACGCTTCGGATTGAGGGATACAATCACGTGAAAAAATACAAGGAGAACTTCGACGTTTTGAGCGAAGGCCCCTTGTCGGGAAGTTAGCTTCGTCAGGTTACTAACTAACCGACGAAGGACCTTCGCTCGAAACGTCGAAGTTCTCCTTAATGTATTTTTCAGGTAGTTGTATCCCTATCAATCCGAAACTTTCTTATTATTGCCACTACCTACACTGGCACAGATAGTTCTACATTATCACGCCCAATTTCTATGCTAGAGATGGATGATTTGCTTGGACGAACTATAAAACAAAGAACTCATATAATTCGTCTGCCAATTAGTCTGCGTATACAGTGATCAAGAAAATAGATGGATTATCGTGTAAGAAGAACTATATGCGTAACCAAACAGACGAATATGTGTGCGCAGTTTGTCTTGACTGATAATCCGTCTATGTCTAATGCAAAATAGGGCATAAGACGAATTTTCAGGAAAATAGTTTCCAAAACCATTGCCATTCACGACAGCCAGGTACTGTAATATCAGTCGACGTCATGTTTGATTGCATTCACGACGCAACGTTTCGACACTCCAGTCAAGTGTCTTCATCAGGGGTGATCTGAAGTCGCAACGTGGCTTCTAATATACCCATGGGATGACGTCCACTACCAACAAGATGGATATCTATTCTTGTTGCAAATAAGCACCGTCATAAAAGCGTGATTACTCATATGTATATGCCACGCTTCTAGGCAGCGTCTTTGGCCATAGTGATTGTTAGTGGTAATGACTCTAGAACTCTAGAGTTTTTCCCACTCTTAGAGTTTTTCTTGTGTTTGACTATGACGGATGATACATCTCTAATATAAATCTTAAGATCCTAGCTTGACTTAGTCTTTATGAGGTGATGACTAAACAAAGTGTTCTTCTTTCTAAGGTTTAAGTCAGGGACAACACAGGGTGTCGAGAACGATGCGGAGTACAGAAGATTGAAGAGGTTCTCAATTCATGATAGTGACGATGACGTTGAAAGGAGATCTACGACGTCAGGCAAGGAAACAATGCACATGAGATCATCGAGGGAATCTAAAGCTGGCAGGGAAAAGGTCACGAGTTCTGAAGAAAGGTGAGTCTATTCTTTCTTTCTAGATCATGTGTCGTCTTCAGAACTACTAACTCAACTGATAAAGCTAACTAGATTTACACTGGATAGCACTATAATATCTCAACCGTTTTCTCTAGAAGTCCAGTAAGAAACATCCCTTGTTGATCCAGTGTTACTGCAAGAAGGAACTAAACTGAAATAAGTTCATTTATACTGGGGGTGGGCACGTCGGGTGGGTGAGTCTATCATTTTTAAACCCTTCCCAAGAGATCCAGCTATATGGAGTTGTACTTCAACTGTTAAGTGTTAATGCAGGGGGAAACGTCAATTAAAGTAACTTTGTTTACACTGGATAGCTCTATCATTTTTAAACTGCTCTGGATGAAGTCGAATAAAGATCATCCTTTATTTTTCTGGTGTTGCTATAGCAAGCTAACTTTGTTTGTTCTGGATTTCCCCATCTGTTTTAAACTCTTCTCCCTAGAGGTCCAGTAAATTTCAGCCCGTATTGTGTTACTACTGGAGGAAACAGGAGAAAATCTGCAGTGTTTATTAGAATTAAACTGGAAGTATTCTTCTCACATGCGGCTGACGGAAAATTGTAATGAGACAACTGCATATATTGTAAAAATCGAAGCCTAACCATTGTGTCACGGCCAGCGCCCCGCACAAAAGCATTGTCTTACGAACAGAGTGGAAAGGTAAACGCACATGAAGATATGAAAATAATTATCTTAATCCAAAACTTTTCTTTCTGTTTCAGCCCTTCGCCTACAGCGAAAGCGACATCGAAACGTTCCAAAGATAGAACGAAAAATTTCGAAGATCAGTTAGAACATTTGGAAGATAACATGGAAAGTTTGGCGGGTAGTTTAAAACGTTCGGAGAAGATCGATAATAAGATATTGGAAGATAAGTCGAAACGTTCCGAAGACAAAAGTACGACGAACTACGAACTCAGTATAGACAATTTCAGCGATAAAAAGGATTACGACCAAAACTTACATGACGTAGCCGTTACTCGTAGAGATACCGCAGATAGCGAAACTGGAGGCTCGCGCATAAATTCTCATCACATAGTTGGAAGATCGTGGGAGCTTATCCATCATTATCCTACGGCATACCTTCCTAGCTTAACAGATGTAAATACCACAGTATTGAACAATACTACAATGCATAGCGAGTATTTGGGAGATAACATCGATGGTGTGGCGCAATACGACGCTGATGACGTCACGCAGTACGAAAGGGCGGAAAAATCACGCAGGAAGCCACGTGTGTCGCTAGTGCGACCTGTACGGTCTATTGAAACTGATTATGAGGTACGGGAATTATCAGAAATCAATAACCGGATGATGCCACAGAGTTCACATGAAGAAAGTGGGCATGTCGTGATGGTCAATACAAAAGCAATAAAGCGAGACGGTACGTTTTACCCAATTTTAATCAAATTTCTCCATTACGGACACCGAATTGAAAGTGTCTGTATTATTGAGGTGTCCGTATTAAAGAATTTTCCGTGTTAGAGAGGAATTTGTCGAATTAAAGAGGTGTCCGTATTAGAGAGGTGTCCGTATTAGAGAGATTTCCGTATTAGAGAGGTGTCCGTATTAGAGAAATGTCCGTATTAGAGAGATGTCCGTATTCGAGAGGTATCTGTATTAGAGAGATGTCCGTATTAGAGAAATGTCCGTATTACAGAGACGTCCGTATTCGAGAGGTGTCTGTATTAGAGAGACGTCCGTATTAGAGAAGTTCCCATATTCGAGAGGTGTCCGTATTAGAGAGGTGTCCGTATTAGAGTAGTGCCCGTATTAGAGAGGTTCCCGTATTAGGGAGGTGTCCGTATTAGAGAGGTGCCCGTATTGGAGAGATGTCCGTATTAGAGAGGTGTCTGTATTAGAAACGTGTTCGTATTGGAGAAATTTCCATAAAGACAATATCGACTGTATTAATTAAGGATGTTGAGAAAATCTAATAAAGAATGAGAAAGAAAATAGCCACACGAAATCATTTTCTTTTCCAGGTTACATCGGCTGCTTTATCGACCAACATCCGAACCGCGACCTCAAGAAAATGTTCACTGTTAACAATCTTACTCCAGTTTCTTGCCGGTCAGTGTGTAAAGAGAAAGGTCATGTGTACGCAGGGGTTCAGTATGGATATCTGTGTCATTGTGGGGATGATTATGGTAAATACGGTGAAGTGGGGGAACACGAGTGTAATAGTGCTTGTCTTGGGGATGATGGGAAGAAGTGTGGTGGATTTTGGAGAAACTCTGTATATACATCAGGTATGGTCCTTGGCATTCACGTAACGCTGTCCACTGTGATGTTTTCAAGTTTCAATCAATCCTTGGTCGAGAGTATCAGCAGCAATTCAAATGCAATAATTAACTTTGTCCCCCCCCCTCGCCCTCCAATAATTGGGGAGCATGGTTAGATCTTACAGAGGTAGTAATTGTTCTTGAATGTGAGTAACCCTAAAGTGATCTGATGATATTGTACAGAACTCAACTGCAATAATTAACTCGGTACCGCCCCCCCCCCAAAAAAAAAAAAAATTGGACGTTTTACAATTGATAGGATTGTAGTTCATATCAACTGGTGATTGGTATAACTGTGATCAAAGTTTAGTCATTGTCACCTAGCGTTTTCTATATTTATTTTGGGGTCCTTATCTACAGCTTTTAAGTCATTCAGTAAATGTTAAAAAACAGGCAATATTAGGCGCTATCTTTTCGTGCAATCTACCATCCCTTCGGACACTTCGCAGTGGTAAATTTTCAGAGATGGAAGAGAAATATTTTCCTCAAATATTTAATATTCCCATATCCCAATACTCGTAAATAACACCACAAATTTCGTCTTGGAAAATTGGCCTGAAGACTCATTCTCGTGTTACATTTCTTCTTGTTAATTTAGAGACGCCTGAAGACAAGGAAACGCCCGAGGACGGCTCAACTAAACGTGAGGCACGTTCACACATTGATCGAGTAATTCCCATTCCACAATCAGGTAAGTAATGAAGACACAGTACAAAACTTTGTGTAGTCATTTATCAGTGACTGAATAGGCCTACGTTCAACTTAAATTCAGAGGAATTTAATTCGTCGATTAGTCGATTTAAAATTGAAATGCTTTCGTTTCATACGACGTCTTTAACTCAGACGAATTCATTTATGACTAACGATCATGTATGATTACACCGAAATAGAACCCACGGGATTCGAAACAAACGTAAACATAATTTATGACCATGACGGATGAAACGTCTTGGATTAATTCAATTCATCCAACGAAGTTTATGATTGGTTTCATACGACGCATACCGTCGCCTTTAATTCGTTCAATTAAATTCGACGATCGTGCGACTGTGAAACAGGCCTTCATTCTGATGGTAAATACAGGTAGATTTAGCGTTAATAAAGTATAGGTTGAACTTAAGGGTTTTTCCTTATTTTTAGAACAAGAGGAAACACCTGTCCGACAGGAAATAACTGTCTACCTAAGGTCGGAGATACCAAAGACGCATCAAAACCCAATTACTACAAAACATAAGGACGAGGCATTGAAGGAAAGGTATTTTTCGATTCGAGTAACGTAATTTATTTCCCATCTTGTTATCTACAAAACTTTGCCAACAATGAACCCCACAATTGAAATCTTCATGTTGTTTGGAAATTAGGTCGCAAGTTCAACCTTTTGAATATAGATTCTAAACTATCGATATAGGCATATTAAATTTTCACAAAAGTTTCGGAATTTTCAGGTTAGAAAATTATTCGAATATTATTCGAAAATTGTCTAATCGTTCTGATACAAGATTTTTGGGCGTGTCGTTCGATAGAAATAAATAATAGATGGTTTTTTTGAAGATGGAATTTTCGAACGTAAATTTCTATTAAAAAACCCATCTTCTATCACACACTGTAGAGTAGTGGACTATTATTTTCCAAACAAAGGGCGTTCTTTCCGAAGTTGTGTATTTAAAGTTTGAGTTCATGGCAACCAGCTGTAATATCAGTCATGTTTTCGCTCGCTACTCTGTTTCTAATAAATCGAAAACATTAGACTGGAGTATCGAAATGTTGGGTCGTGAATGCAACTGGGCTTTGCATTCATTTATTAAAACGAGAGTAGCGTGCGAAAACATGACTGTGTTTGTCATATTTTCAGGTAGCTGTTGCACCCTTTAACCAAAATTCTGAGTAGAGTTTTCTTTAATGGAACCCACATTCTAGATATGAATACACCACCACAGATATATATTAACTTTATTGTAATGTCTTTAGACCAAGAACCGCAACAACAAATTCCAAGCGTACAGAGATTCCTAAACCCATTGTGAACCAAGTTAACCATCCGAACAAAGTAGTTAATCAACCAACCAATGTAATGCAAGCAAAGAAACGAACAAACGTGAACAGCAACGCATATCTACATCCACAAACGGGCCCAACGGAGTTCGTACCATCAAATGTAGTGCTAAGGACACTCACATCGTCAACAAAAAGTAAGTGAACATGGCCGGTAAGAATAATTTTTCTGTAATTCTTCGATCCGAGTTGACCATAATCAATTTTTCATCTCCTATCTACGGACAAACATAGACCTCAGAATTGAACTTTTCATGATCATGCTCAGCTTAGTCCACACCAAAAATTTCACGTTATTTTAACTGATGAAAATATGTTTTGAAATTTGGCACTGAATGTCCAAACAACGTAAAATTTTCGGTAATAATTTGGGCATGATGATTTCAATTCTGATGCCCATTTCTTTAAAATATGACGATGAAAAATCGATATGTACTAGATAAAACATGAGCAGCCGATCTGTATCTGATATACAAATCATATCAGATATGTATCTGATATACAATATCAGATACAGATCGGATGCGAATGTTTTATCGTACTTAAAAAATTACCCATCTTATGAGTTCATTGGCGAAGTAATTTTAAAAATAAACATTGTCTGGGCCGAGAAAATCAAAGCTGAAGTTTATGTAAATCAGGACAAATCTTTATCCAATTTACAAACATTGATTAAACATTCATTTCTTTTTTATTTTCCTCGTGAATTATTAATGACTCACTTTGACGAAGTGTTGTTTGTGGTACAGTGATTATAACATGTGGTTCACCTTTACCTTAACCAAAAATTTGTAATTTTTCAAAACATATTTTCATCAGTTAAAAATCGTTATTTTGTTGCAATGAAATGTTTTGGACCATTTCCTAAACGGTTGGAGTACTTTGAATGAAAATCAGAACTTTGAATAAAAAGATCGAAATCGAAGTATCCGATATGTTAGGCTTTCTTCTTATTTTTGTTCAGAGAGGAAATATACTGGTTTTATAAAGTTGAAACAAAATTGGGACGATGGTTTACAGAAGAAGACTAACCCAAAGACCTTAATTTTAGCGGGCAACATTGAAACTGCGGTAAGACATAACTATTCAACTAATTCAATTAATATTGAATTCTGAAGGTCAAAACTCATAACCATGCACGAAAGCTCGACTTCTATAAGCGGAAACGCAAATGGACATACATGAACAGTACCATGAAACTACATGTATACAAAAACCTTGTATCTGAAAAATTAACATAAATTTCTTCTTATCTTAGTTTTCAGAGATGTTTGCAAAAGATCCTCAATTCGAGAAAGCTGAAATTCTAAGTTTGAGGTAGTTTTGTTGTCTGTATTTATTTACTAGATAAATAAGAAGGGGTATGAATAACACGTTTTGAAATTTTGAGCTAAAAATGTAGACCATCTGGTACAAATCTCTTAGCTTGTTTAATCTCTTAACAAGGCATGTTCGTACTGTTTGTTCCAAGTTGTTTACAAGTCTGGAACAAGTTGTCATCATCTTCCAACAGACTCGTAACAAGTTGACCCCAACAAGTCTGATATACTTTATCGTCTGCACGTAACAACTACTCGATGACAAGCTAGTAGTAACTTGTTACCAACAGCCTGTATTAGTCTTATTGGAACAACTCGTAGCAAGTCTGTTGCCGTCATCAACCTTGTAACAAGGCGATAACAACTTTTCCCAGACTTCCACAACAACTGGTAACAAACACTGCGAACACATCCTGATATCAGCATGATAACAACCTTGTTACAATTTGTTGGATGATTTGTAACATTTTGCGCGTTTTTGCGTGTTTACATGTCTCTCTTCATAGATCTGATTCAAACGTCGTGCTTATCATGTGCCTAGCCACCTAACCTAATGCACGCAATTAAATGACCACTGGCTTTGAACTCATTTGTAATTAGGTTCAGCACATGTAAAGTTCGACGTTTAAATTTTTCCTTAGGGCCTGTTTATAGTGAGATTGATGTTGTATAGAAGGATGAAGGTCATAGAATGGAAATTGTATGGACCTTCATTGGAAATAGAATGGATTTTGGTGGTCCATAATAATTGTATATTTCCATATGGATATAGGATAGAAATAGGATGGATATACTATGGATTTAGTGGTGCAATTGCAAATTTCGTAGTGTGGATTTCACCTTTTTTTTCCAGTGATAACCCAATTAGATCCAGGTTTATTAGCATAGTATGGCCAATTGCCATGGCTAGTTCGCTACTGCTTGTAGGGATTTAGGTTTAGCCAATTAACAGTAATCATTTCCTACCAGGGAGGCGGAAATACGAGACAATCCAGACACAGTTCACAAAGTTCTGGTCGAGTTTGCTCTGATGTTTAAGAAAGGGGGACGGAAGAAAGATGAAATATTAAGAAGTATGGTAGAGAACAACAGCCGAGTGGGAGAAATGCCAGTCTTTGTTGATAGCCTTGATATAAAAGGTAAATACGATTTGAATTTGGTGTTCATTGTATTCAAGATGATTGGCGCTTACGGATGGAATGCTATATACAGCTATTTCAATTAAGGTTGTCCCCCGAGCAAAGCGGAAATGTCGAATACGAACGCGAAAGGCTGCTGGGAATCGCTAATAAATTCATTCATTTATTAGCGATTCCCAGCAGCCTTTCGCGCTCGTTATCGACTTTTCCGCTTTGCTCGGGGGACAACCTTAATTGAAATAGCTGTATACATATATTATTTTAGTCACAATTGTACCATACACGGGAAAAACAATCAAATATCCATTAATGCATGGATTTTTGAATGGTTTTTTAAAGATTTACCATGTATACTATCAATGTAAAAACTGAACTCTACCATTACTGGTTATTATAGATTTCCCATATGGTAACTTGATAAAAGCATGATGTTTAATATTTACCATTATGGTATTTTCCTGTGCACTGGAAAAATAAAGTACCGTTAATGGTAAATATTAAACATCATGATTTTTACTAATTTACCATATGAGAAATATATAATAACCAATAATGTTAAAGTGCATATGACATGAAATTTCTTATTTTCTTAAATGAAAGAACTCTTTAAGTTGTAGTGTAACTTATTTTTCAGTTTCTTGTTTTTATGGTTTGTTCCCGAGATATTTCAATTTGTTTGATATGTAAATGGTGTCCGCGCTAATTTATGACGTCACGTTGGTTGCAAGCTCAACTTACACTGGTTATAAATGTATTAACTCTAAAAACTGTTGATATCAGTTCACGTTTTTTTCCAGTGTTTCATCACATTTACCAGTGAGGGAAGTTTGAAATTATCATCTTGGATAATAGCAGTGATATTCAACCATTTTGAAGAGCTTGCAACCAACATGACGTCATAAATTAGCAGACATATTCACACTCATTTACATATCAAACAAATTGAAATATCTCGGGAACAAACCATAAAAACAAGAAACTGAAAAATAAGTTACACTACAACTTAAAGAGTTCTTTCATTTAAGAAAATAAGAAATTTCATGTCATATGCACTTTAAGATTTCCGTTTTTACATTGAAAACCCCATCGGTGGATTTTTCCCCTCGTTTCAAAGTATTTATAATGATCTACAAGACAGCTGCGGATTGAGAGAAATGCAACTACCTGAAAAATACAAGCAGAACTTCGACCTACAGTTTTATGTTGAGATGGCTTCATCGTTACTGGACCCCTTGAGAGAACACTTTCTTTAGAACTAATAGAAATACCCAGTGGTTTTCCCAACTGAATTAAAAAAAAACACATACACAAAAAGAATACAAATTATCGTCATACCATGGCAACCACTTCAAATATTTTATGTTTGGAAAATATAGTGGTTTTGCTAGTAAGGCGAGAGGTTTCTGTATGCATTTCTTTCTTTTGACAGAATACAAGAATGAGGAAGATGACCCTAACACTGATGCAGCAAGAGCGAAGGAAAAAAGACAAGGTATTGGCTATTGTATACGTAATAGTTCAAATACGAATTAATGTTACATTTACACTGTAACTTTTCATATCATTTAGCACTAGTTTTTATTGGGGGGGGGGGGGGGGGGCGGCAGAACGAGGGCTAGGCGAGCTATACTGCCCCCCTCCAGAAGTAAAACCGATTAGAGTAACTGGAGAGTTATATGAAGATTCAAAGGTTCTTGATTCTGCCAATATTAATAAGAAAGCTTCGGATCTGCAATCATACAAAATGCAATCTGAGCAACATTTTTCACGAAGGCAAAGGGCATTTTGCCACCGGAGAGTGGGCATTTTTTGTGTTTTCTAAGGGAAAATAATTGCAATCATAAAAAAAACGCAATCTGAACGACATTTTTCACGAAACCAAACGGGGCACTTTGCCACTTGAGAAAGGGCACTTTTTGTGTCTTCTGAAAACTTGGGGGGGGGCCTTGCCTCCTCCCGGTTCTTACGCCCCTGCCTTTGCTTGAAACGTCAAAGTTCTCCTTGTATTTTTCTTCATCCCTAAAAGGCGAAGTGAACAAAAAATTACCAACATTGCATGTGGTCAATCATAAAATTCCTTAAGTGGAATTAAACTGGGAGCTTCAGCACCCGTGACAGTTTGTGCAAGGGGACTATAAGCCTTCCTAAAAATAGATTAAGTCATATATGTCTTGGTTAAAAAGCGTGAGCTTTTCCTTCACAAGTAGTTCGACTGGTATGCTTATTTGGAAGCGATTTTATCCCCACAAAGTCATATACAAACTGATTTGAAAACCAACTATGAAGCAATTTTTTGCAGCATTTTTGTTGTCTAAATTCTTTAATTCGGTGCCAAAAAGTGCAGGAAATGGCATTTCCAAGCCTTTATTTTAGCCTGTCGTGTTTGCACTTGGCTAAAAACTGCGCTACCATACCCAACTTAGCTGCCAAAATTGACCCCCCAAACTAAAACCCGTTTCGCCACTGTTTTTTATTGAAATATTGTGTAAATATCGTACCCTGTCATTCATGAAGCTAACCTACCCTATAAACGTTCTTTTCAGATGGTGTTGATGCATTTCTAGAAGAAGTATTTAGACAAATTTGAGATTAACCATTCTAGCCAGAAGAATAGAAAGATAAACGAGAATTGGTATACCATGTGGACCGTGTTTGATTCAGATCTGGACACTATATGTGAGCAATAGGGATATGTGTAACATTTTGGTAAAATTGTGGACAGGTTGAATGAAGGCTGTCTGGCATACTCGTCGGGTCGGACTGGCGGTGAAAACCAATGCCGGAATGACCGTGCGGAATGGAATGAGAAGCAAATTTCGCTGTATTTAATTTTCCTGTAAAAATATAGTTTAATTTATTTTATACATCCTTGGAATTACAAAAATAGTATACTTATTAAGGACAGATTATACGGAACTAACAGTTTCTTACAAGATAAACTGTCTTGCTTACAAGATATTAACTGCCTTGATTTCGATCTCTGACATTTTTGCGGCCATTTTGAATTTGCCAACGCCAAAATGCAATGGAATCACCGACAATACACTGTTAATTTTACAGTAAAAAGAGCTGGTAGCTAGGACGCCAGAGAATGTACTCTAACTTTACATGCAGAGACTGTTTTTGACCGAAATCTGTATTTATACGTACCGTAAAAAGGCTCAAAATCCTCTATTGCAAAATACTACTGTAAAATATTACTAAACTCGTTTTAAATACAATCCATTGTACTGTACTGATTTACGATTACAGTATACTTACTGTAAAAACTGATCGGTAAAACAGATATTTTTAACAGTGCATATTATACTGTAAGTTTTAAATAATTCTTCGGTGGTGGTAATGTGAATCTTCATTGAAATTCAGATGAAAATCAAACAACGTATAGTAAGAGACAACGTATAAGTTATTATTTAGGGTTAAAAGGATGGGTTATTTGGCTAGTAATTTAACTCATAAATTACGTTCCATAGACAATTTGCCCCTTTCTAAGTCCGACCAATCACAGGCGTTCAATGCCAGATAAACCAACATCACCAATACAAATAGACCCTTTCATGTTTTTTTTACTAAATTTTGAATTAGGTTAAAAAATGAATACTATAGCACTTAAAATTAAAAAACCTTGAAAACTACATTCGTCAGCATCCCGCACGGCCATTCCGCCTTGTATAACCATCGTTAGCTTAGGTTTAAAATAAGAACAAAAACCTATATGTAATGAATGTAGCACAAAACTTTTTTAATTGAATAAAGGAAATAAATAGACGTCTATGTATGTACATGATTTGTGGTTACAATAAATAAATTATTAATTAACTAACTATTATTTATACATGACTTTTTATCGATAAAATTTTTTTTCTTGGCCACTTTTTTGATTGTTAAAAAATTGGCTAAAAATGGCAAAATTGAAAAACTGCACAAAATGACGAAAAAGTTAAGACGTATATATATAAGCCTTAAATTCTTTATGGATTTTAGCCACTTTTTGAAACAGTCAAACTATACAAGCCATTTTTGGTCCCTTGCAAAGGCAAAGTGTTATGGCCAAAAAGTTAATTTAAATTAAGGGTATAGCCTTAACCTTTTGTCGAACTTTAGTCATGGTTTTGAAAGGCTAGTCCCTTAGTATTTTTTGAACAAAAGCTAAGGTTAACCTCTTTACTTTTTCACCGTTTTCTTGGTCTAGTTTTGAAAAATTCAAAGACCTACGTCGAAAATGGAAAAAAAACGTTATGTGGTGAGCCTAACCTTTTTGTCGAATTTTAGCCATATTTTTGAAAAATTCAAAAAGGGGTTAAAATGGCCAAAAGTAAAGGCAACCGCTTAATATTTTTTTAAAAATGGTTAAGGCTACAAAGGCTTACCCTTAATATTTTTTTGAAAAATGTTAAGGCTAACTAACTTTACTTTTTCACCATTTTTGGTCGCGCATTTAGTGGCCATTTTGTCGCACAGACTTAAAAATCATACAATCCTATAAACTTTAAATCAATGGCTGTTATTTTAGAAGCGAAAACACTTTTTATTTGAATTGATTATGCGTCCATGTATGGCTTAACATAATAATAAATTAATAGTAAAGCTCCACGTGTACAGTACAGGGTGTATAAAAAAACACAACCTCGATCGGAATTTCCTAAGAATCCACTTTGCAATTCTTAAACATAAAAGATTTTAGACCCCTGGGAATTAAAATCGAATTGCTAATAGTCATATTACCGTTGTTGTATTGTACTTGTAAAATAAAAACTTATTAAATGTCATTAAATAAATGCATACATTTTGCTTTATGCACTCACGTGTGCAGTAATTTTGACAGTTGTGCTATTTTAATTAAATTCCCAGGCACCTAAAATCTTTTGTCCTTAAAACAATGTCGATTTCTTGCGAAATTCCGAGGTTGCGTTTCTTTTTATACACCCTGTATACAGTATATAAATTCCCATAGGGATTGAAGCCAATCTAAACGAGACAGGTTTGACCAATCAGGGAGATGCTCTTGTAAGTACCTACCAATCGGAAGCCTGTATTTCAATGCCATCGGAGGAAATAGCATTCCAGACAGAATTCGCATGTAAATTATATTCAAATTTAGGACAGTTTTAGACAGATCATTTCGCCCATTGCCGCGTGTAGCTTAGTCGAAGTTCTCGTCTCGTGGTGATTTAAGAAGTGCTTTAGACCTTGAAATACGAAGCTGGAAAGACCACAAAGAAGCTCAAAAATGAAACTGAAAGACAGGAATTAGGTATGTTCTATGTATGTTATGTGATTTGTCCATATTACAGCCTGTACAAAGTCTTTGAATCTACTTGTCAAAGTCAACGACCGCAAGTAGCTTCGCCTTTTGCTTTGGGCTTCGACATGCTGTCCAAATCGATTTGTTCAGGCAATTAAGACACTGAATTAAGCCTTGCTTTTTGTTATATTTACTTTAAATTAGTACACGAATGTTTCGATAAAGTATTCAGCGTGTTTTGTAGCTAAATTTGTTTTAAATTTTCTCGTTTTAGTGGCAAGAAGAAATGTCGAATCAGTCTCAACCCGTCACGGCTCAATGCCAAGTCAAGAAAAAAGTCTTTAATTCTTGCCGAAATTTTCAAAGCAAAATTTAACAAGAAATGTTGTCTTCCGAAACTCAGGAGTCAAACGAAAGACCAAACTATGGTACGTACTTTTTATTTTGTGTAAAATGTTCGTATTCAGAGAGTAAAACTGTTTGAAATTACTTGTTAAAGTTGACGATCGCAAGTCGCTTATAGGCGCCAGTGCATGATGTCCCAGCATATATGCATGCTGAATATATTGGATTTAGTTTACGTTTCGTTATCTTTAAATTAGTATGGAAATGTATAGATATAAAATGTTGATATTTCTCCGAGTAAAATTGCTTGAAACTTGATTCGAGGTTGACAAACGCCCTGGTCGATTTGCCTTTGACGACGTGCATGAAGTTGCGTTTCCGGCTTGCTCTAGTAGATCAGTATAAAAGCATTAATTGAATTTGGCATTGCTTAGAAACCATCTTTAGTAACTAAATTAGAACAAAATGTTTCGATAAAGTATTTAGGACGTTTTAGTTCTAATTTGTTTTTAAAATTTGTCGTTTTAGGTATACCAGTGATGACTTGTCGTATCGAAAGCAAAGACTCGCCATTCATTTCAACTGCTTACCACCAACGTTTGGTTGAAATGGACCATGGTTATGGATCGTTTTAAACGCCTTTTGTCATTAGTGTGGAAGAGAAACCCAGCCATCCTCTCTGCTCCGGCTGACCCATGATTGCTGCCACATCGTGTACATCAGAGGAAGCGGATTACCTATACAATCCTGACTTCATGCAGAAATCAGTGCTTCAGTCATTGGGCTATTGGAGAACAACACTTGAGTGTTAAGGTAATTAAGATTTAAACGTAACTTTTCTTTATGAACTTCAGTTAAACACCAGAAATTTGCGGAGGGATTGAACTACCTGCAAAATACAAGTAAAACTTCCACATTTCCAGCGAAGAAAAAAACCCGCCCCTTTAATACCACCCCCCTTTAATACCCCCC